CCCCCCTCCCGCCGCTGTGGGGCATAAAGGCTTGTGTCCCCGCCCCGCAGCACGTTTTAAAAAGCAGATGGTTTCTTTGTGGACTTCAGACCGGTTTCACCTCGTCATTGTGTGGATCGCTCCAACTGCAAAGAGCCACGTCTCAGGCTGTGGGGAAGTTTGTGTGGGAGGGTAGAGAATGGGGGCCGGACGTGGGGGCAAAGAGGGAATGGGCAGGAAGAGATGTTCTGGCTGGCTTATTCACCTATGGGAAGAAGCAGTTAGTTAATTGCAGCATCTCGCAAACGGTATTTGGTCCGTAGCTAGGATGAGTTCCGCCTTTGGGTTTTCGCTTCAGTTCTCGGTCTCTTCCGGCCGCTCGTGCTTTTCTCTCTCTCTCTCTCTCCTTGGGGAATTATTACCCTCTGCTCTTTTTTGAATGTTGAAAAAGGTAATAATTCCATTACTCCACTCTTAGCCTATAGACGATAAATACAGTGTTAATAGCAGTGGAGACTTTTCTTTCCCTGTCCATTATTCTCCATTTTTGTAAAATTAGTTTAGCAGTTTTCTTTATTCCCACAATTATAATGCGATTAAAAGGTTGGGTTTCTTTTTTTTCCCCAGATTATTTTTGTAGTTCTCTTGAAAAAAGAGCCTGACTTCTCAAATTGATAGCTTAGTTTAAGATAGCTTAAGCCATTTTTATAAATGGCTCAGTTAAAAATGCTTTAATAATAAAACTGCCTGACTTGCTATAATTCAGAAAGCAATTTGTTAAAATATATTATACAATATTATATATTATAATATCCAATATATTATAAAATATTATTTAAGAAGTCATGAAAGACATTTCCATGCAAAAGCTTCAGAGGTAGCTGAGAGGATTGTTTAAGTATTTCCAGTTTCAGACTAATAGTTTAGGAGACCTTAAAGACTCACAAAACATGTAGATGGTATTATGAGCTTTCATGGGCACAACCCACTTCTTCAGATGAAAAGTGGGTTGTGCCCATGAAAGCTCATGATACTATCTATGTGTTTTGTAAGTCTTTAAAGTGCTGCTAGACTATTTGTTATTTTTAAGTATTTCCATGTAAGGCTTTGGTTAGATACTTTTATAGTAAACTTCCTTGAAGATCCAAAGATATTTGGACAAAATAACATTTTTAAAAACTTGAGTTTTTTCATTTTTGTTGTGTCAAATTAACAAAATATTTAAAGTAAGTTTTTATATTTTTAAGACCAGTAAAACAAAGTAGTGTTGACTTCAAAAAAAAGTTATTGGTGCAAAATAGTTGTAATGTTAGTCTCTAAGGTGCCACAGGACTTCATATGCATGTTCACGTCCTATCATGTAAAAAAACCCAGGATAATATGGTTTAGCTAGGAATAGGCCTTTTAAATCCAATTAGAAGATGGGCTCTCTTTCCCATTAATGTTAGTGGAGTTTGAGTCATAGATGAATTGGTATTTTCAACATAGAAGTCTGCTGAGGGACAGAAACTACAGTACATCTTGAAGTAAATAGTTCCACAAGTAAGACTTTACAGAATTAGGGTCTGCATCTGGGCTAACGTTTTCTGTGCTATCTTTTCATAGTCAAAATGAGTTTACAGTGACAACTGAAATAAAACTTTTATATTGTAATTAAATATTTAGTGTTTAACTATAAATACACACTCTCATTCTCAAACAGAGGACTCTTAGCTGCAATAGGTCTAGCATGTGATGGAATTAGGCCAGTGTCTTAAAAAGCTCTTTGTTGAAGGTCCACACAAGTGTATTTAGTAAGTCAAAACAGGCTGCTGATACCTAATTTTCCCTGCCTCCATCATATACTAAGCTAATATTTATCTTGGGTTTGAATATCTAGAGAAATTAATATCAGAGAAATATGATGTTTCTTAACTGTATTAATGTTAAGAGGGCTATGGAGTTGATCCTTTTTCTCAACATTTAATGACCAGTTACCATTTTGTATAAAATTCAGTAAGTCTGAACAATTGAGAGAAGTATAGCAAAGAGGAGCCAAAACCTGTGAAGAGTTTTAAAAACATGGACAGGGTCTTAGCACTGGACTGAAGTAATGCCTGGAACAGAGGAAAATAGGCAGTGGGGCCATAAGAAACAAGTGGGGGAATTAGCACTTATACTATGCTTTGGTGAGTTAAGATTCTATTTTTTGTCAGTGAAGCATAAAATTTAATCCCAACCCATAGAATGGTTTAGTGACTATAAGTAGAGGAAGAGATGTGTGAATGTAATGGCTTTTGAAATATCTGTAAAAGGCTCATTGACTTAGAATGTCAGATTCTGAAATAAAGCAAAAACACACAGTCTTAGTTTCATGAATAGAAATGCTGCTGTGGTGAATTTCTTGGTCTAGATGACTCTGTATGGTAAAAAACACAGAAGAGTCTCTCATGGAATATCAGTTATAGTGGACTGAATTCTTGGCTTGCTCAGTCTACAAATTACAGAACTGGGAAAAGGATGGTTCATAATTAAAGTTGGGATGCAAATTACTTAGATCTCATTTATACAAAGAACACATGCTTCTATTAGGATGATACAAGTACAAATTTAGAGGCTAATCCAAGTTTACTGAATTTCATTCTACAAGGTGGTGGTCAATCAGTTCCTATTGTCTTCAGTAGTTTTACAGATTATTTGTGTAACTGTAAACTAGGGGCCCTCATAAACTGGGGCCCCATTTGTGCTAGGTGCTATACAAATAGAACAAAAACTCAGTCCTTGCCCAAAAGGTTCACAATCCAAGTATGAGATGAGATAATAGAAGTATATAGACTGATGGAGGAGTACAAGTAAATAGTGAGATGTTATTGGTCTGTATGTTAGACAGTGGTCTCTGTATAGCCTAACATCATTTTTTGCTAAACATTGTGGCAGAGTAGGGTCTTTAGGAGGGATTTAAATGTGAGTAATGAGGTAGCTTTGTGGATATTTATAGAAGTGTCTCACAAGCATGTGGAACAGTTTAGGAGAAAGCATGACTTTGAGGGTGTTCACTACTGTGAACAATTAGGCCTGTCAAGTAACCAGGAGTTTTATTTTTCTCTTATTGGTTTTCTCTCACATCTTTAATGTGTGTGTCTGCTCTTTGGTTTTCTACGTGCAATCTTTCAGTGCTTGCACTGCTTTATAAACAATATGTGTAACTAATAATGCGTATTTTTTACTGAAGTTAAGCTATTTGGGCTCTCTAAGTAATATGCTAAATAAAATAAGCATGAAAACATAAGCATGTCTTATCAGAAACACAAAACATATAGCAACCTGGCCATAAGGTTAAGGGATGGTAAACAATGGTTGGCTGCCTTTTTCATTCAGGTTTCTTGATTACTTAGTATTTCAAAGGTAACATATTAGAATGATTTATTTAGCACTCTTTTACCTGTGAATAATGAATATTTATATGCATTCTCATTCAGAACAGACTTTCATGACTGCTCCTATTTTCAAAGCAGGAAAATACATCTGTTAGAGCTACAGAATTGTGCATTGGTTGTTCAGATTTCACAGGGACAGTCAGATTCTGCTCAAATTCTGCTCAAATTAACATGTATGTGTGTAAGGCAATCATAAAAAGGCTGTTAACTAAACATATAGGATTTCCCTGGCTGGCCTGTTCTCT